GTCTCGTCTGTTTTGTAAGCATTATTTATTGTGTTGGATGCCTTATGCCACATTTCAGTCTCGTCTGTTTTGTAAGCATTATTTATTGTGTTGGATGCCTTACGCCACATTTTACTCTCGTCTCTTTTGTAAGCAATATCTATTGTGTTGGATGCCTTATGCCACATTTCAGTCTCGTCTCTTTGGTAAGCATTATTTATTGTGTTGGATGCCTTATGGCACATTTCAGTCTCGTCTGTTTTGTAAGCATTATTTATTGTGTTGGATGCCTTAAGGTAGTGAGAGATCCAAAATAATAAATAAATATCCATTGAAAGATATTCATCGATATCTCAAGCAGGCTTCACTGAAAACATGTTTGACATAAGTAAAACTTTTTAAAGTGTCACAACGTGTGTCTCTACCTGAAATATCGATAAATAAAAAGAGATGAATTTAAACATCCCTACTTCCTCGTTAGTAACGTAGCTTCAGAACTAACTCTACAGTTTGATGCTACAAGTTAACATAATTTACTTCTCAGATTTTCACAAAATCGACTTTTCAAATATGTTAATTGTGTATGTGGGTGAAATGTAACACCTTTATAGAATAAACTACTAATCACCTGTAGATCCAGCACTGGCGTTGTTAACTGTATGAAATTGGCCATTTACAGGCTGCATGACATATGGCTGTGCGGTAGGACATGATGGTCTGCTATAACTTCCAAGTGACAGGGGATCGTAGCTTCTAGCACTCCCTGGTGGTAGCATGCAGGAATAAGATGGCGCTTGCTGTTGAAGACAAGAACTAGGACCCATGTTGTTGGACATAGAGTAAGTGGACATCGGCGGAATGGAACTATGAAAATAACACATATTGTTTCATTAAAACTGCTTGATATAGAAACAGAAGAACTGAAAAAAACCCACGAAAACTAAACACACTGAAAGTAGGTCACTTGCATATGCACTGGGTTCAAGTAGAAGGCATTACTGATTTAATGACAATAAATAGTTAGTCAACAATGAATGTTTACTAGTCAAACTGTTACTAATAGCTGAGGAATTATTGGTCACTATTTTTGCGTCATTAAAATATTAACTCAATTTCGCAACGTTTTGTAAAATAAGGCCCATCTTAGAAATGGTCTTAATTCGTTAACATGAACTGTCATTTTAAGAGAAACGCTTTTCGTGTGAAGGTAATACTGCCGAATTTCTATCTACCTGTAAGTATCTGTCATACTAGCCATTGGCTGTCCGATACTCGGGTATAGGGCATTCGGAAAGCCGGCGTTGAGGGGTAGACGAGCTGGTGCTGTGTTGGCGGCTGCTGCTGCAGCTTGTTCGGCAGCTCGTCTTTGGTTCCGTAGTTTTTCCTCTCGCCGCCACTTCGCTCTACGATTGGAGAACCAGACCTGGACAGAAACAGCCTGTGAATGTTATGTGGTATCTTAGCAACAGAGCTGGGAAGACTTCCACAGTTATAGTTACTTAGACAAGTGACATATGAAAAATGGATAACTTTTATTTTATCTATCCACATATCAACAACGTTGGAAAAGCATGACCTTGTTTCAGATTAAATTCTTACAAGATACGATGATCCTAAATCTTATTCTTTATTTTTGCAACAATTAATACGATGATCCTAAGTCTTATTCTTTATTTTTGCAACAATTAATACGATGATCCTAAGTCTTATTCTTTATTTTTGCAACAATTAATACGATGATCCTAAATCTTATTCTTTGTTTTTGCAACAATTATATTTGAGCATTTTATGAGCTATGACGAAATGAAACTTGTTTCCGCTCAGATTCCCAATGACATTACCGCCTAAATGCATTCTGGTGGGATCTGACATAGTACTTACCTATATAAAACGTAACCATCACTAAACAAAGCAAGAACATCTGTATATGAAATGGGGATTTAATCTATGTTACCTAGTAACTGCTCAAGTGTAACACGTATCTGTGTTGTTGTTTCTCTCTCTAACAAATAATTTATGCATCATGTGAGTCTAGGATATATCACCTGTGTTATCATCCAAAGTAAACCATGCATACCACTACCTGTGTTCTTATCAAAACTAATCTGTACATTACGTGAAATACCATATATTTTGAAATGTTCTTTTATGAAAAATCCTTTACCTGTATCCTAGCTTCTGGCAAATCTATCTTTGCTGCTAACCGTTCACGGGCAAATACATCTGGATAATGAGTTCTTTCAAACTCTGAAAAACAAAACATTAGCAATTATATTCTTACTAGATGATATATCAAAACATCGTCTCTGATAAATAATCTGTGTGCGCTTATAGATAAAAATACCCAATATTTTAATAAGCTTAATCTGCGTGCGCTTATAGATAAAAATACCCAATATTTTAATAAGCTGAGTGGGTAGTCTTATGTTAGTTTATTCGTAGGTAATGAACGTCAGTACAATAATATTTACGTACAGGTTTTGCAACACGACACAAAAAAAAAGGTTAGAATTCATGCACAACATAATATATGCTTATAACTTTAGTGATCATAACATGCTAAACTAACACGATAAGGTAACTGTACATGTATACTGACACACACACACACACACCATATAAAGCATGGCATGGCCAGGTGGTTTGGGCGCTTGACTCGCAATATGAGGGTCGCGGGTTCAAATCCCCATCACACCAAACATGCTGGCTCTTTCAGCCGTGGGTGCGTTATAATGTGACGGCCAATCCCACTATTCGTTGGTAAAATAGTAGCCCAAGAGTTGGTGGTGATGACTAGCTTCCTTCCCTCTAGTCTTTCACTGCTAAATTAGGGACGGTTAGCTCAGATAGCTTTCCGCGAAATTCAAAACAAACTAAACGTGATTTATAAAAATGCATCATATTGGAAAGAGAAATTAAGCAGTTTGGAGTTATAAATCAAGATTTATAAAAACCAGTAAAGTGAAACGGCTTTAAAGGATGTATACAAACTATGGCAAAGTGAAGCGATTTGGATTTATAAACTGGGACGTAAAGTTAGCAAAGTGAAATGTTTCGTAAAATTACATCGATGATAAAATAAAATCAATAGTTTATATGGCTATTATAAATTGATGCAGCTAATTCCGAATATAACTGATGTAGTTTGTTATTGGTTTTTGTGCGTGAGAGAAAGCTGGACTAATATACATATATTAGGTTTAGTATCGTAATCTGTTTTACAGTATAAACAATTTCCCCACTTATCTTCTGATTTCTCACCTTTTTCTAAAGCTTCAATCTGCTCTGGGGTGAATGAGGTTCGATTTCTCTGTAGCTTTCTTTTTAACCGGAGCCGTGCTGCGTTATCCTCATCCCCGCTTCCGCCAGGGTCACTTCGGCTGGAACTCTCGGTTCCACTGTCGCCCTCTGTTAAATGTATAAATGATTTATTTACGGCAATAAAGATAATCTTTCGGTATGCTTGTTTCATTCGTTATTACTTTTTTTAGTGATGCCTATTTTCATGAACATTTCAAGAGGATATTTTGTGAAAATAAATTGCATGTTCTTTTTCAGAAATCTAACACACGTGACACTCTCACGCATACATATATATAGACACTAAAGAAAATTGTGTCATCTACGACATCAATGATAGACAAATAAAAAAAATTAGTACAACATAAGGTATTTCATCAGGCATAACAGTTGTAAACAAACTTGGTTACGTTATACACAAAAATGAAGCCCGATTGTGTCACTTGTTTATAAAATATAGCAATGTTATGTGTAACTCGATGTAATGTTTTGATTTATGTAAATTCACATAAAATGTTTGAGCTTAAGTCTATTGCAAGGAATAACACTGGTGTAAAAGTTTTCATGCTTTTCTTTACAGATAATACACACAAGTTAAAAATTAGCCCGACACATCTGAAATGATTCCGAAACAGAATTAAGCAATCAGTTCCCCCTCTCCAATGTGTAGCACATCAATTATTCTGTTTATTTTTCTATTGAAGTTTCTTGCTACAAAGTTTCAATTGTTACGCTCGGAAACTTAAAGATAGCGCATCAGCGCGGGAATTTGACATCTATATTTCGCTTGTTCTTCCTTTTTCTATTCTTCCATTTTCCAAAGCATCTCTATAAGGCAGTCCAAAGGGTGCTAGGAGAAAATGGTGACCACTTTGCTCCGACATTTATCCAGGAAAAAGCTTTTATCTGGAGATGTTTCTCTCGTTCACGTTCCTTGTCAGCTGAAGAATCAAGCTAGGAGGGGCGAGATGTCTCCCCAGAAATCAATGTCGTTACCGTCCATTAAAGTACCATTTTTCTGTAGTTTTCCCGTACGTCTGAAGAAGTCATTGACTACGGGTCGAGAAGGAATACGTTAACCATAGCAGCCGATATCTCCACATTGTGATTAACTCTCTTAGCAAAAACTACCCGAGAAAATTATTTCAGCGTATTAAGAGAATGTGTTTAAAAAACAAAAATCAATGTGTTGAGTAAAAAATGTTAAGTACTTTACAAACATGATCTTATAGTTTTTGTCAGTGAAATACTAGAAAGTGATACTACGAATGTAATACATTTAGAGAGAGGTTTGATTTGCACTGATTAATTTTTAACTTTATTTTATTTTAGTAAAATAAAGTTCATTCAAAATATGAGTACTATACGAAAACAGCTGTAAATGAGCTGAATCATCTGTTTTTCGTGCTAACTCATGAACCTTGATTTTCAGATCCTTTCAAATGGTTTCAGTGCGTGTATCATTGTTTCGAAATTGTTTCCAATCGTTTCAGTGCGTGTACCATCGTTTCGAAATTGTTTCTAATTGTTTCGTTAAAAAGTTATAGAACGGTTTGAAGCTTTTCGTGTACATATTTGTGTCATTATATTAGTAGGTTTGTACGATTTAGAACTGCTAAGTTGTTATTCTGTCTATAGCTCTCCCCTCATATAAATGTAACAGTACAGCCGTCTCCTGTTTTACACAATCAGAAGCGAGTCAGATACAGCTAAATAACAGGTTACTTAAAAAAAAAAGTAACCAAATCGAAGGTTTACAATGAATATAAACATGTTTGACTTCAGTAATTCAATCTAGTAATTTCATTAATTAAAACTATAAATACACATTCATATCTAAGCTTGTAGCTAATGCAATTACACATACACACATATATATACAATTTACTTAGATCTGGAAATTATTTTGATATATACGCCATACTTCCTTCAAATATTAACACAAATATAATGTTTATAATGCATATACATAAATAGATATATATATATATATTGACAACATTATGATCATAGTACGACTTCCTAGATATAGTTTTTAAGTGTTTGATGAAGGTACAAGATAAAACAATAGCTGCTATACACATAGGTTTTTTTCAATTAAATACCAAATAAAAGAAGATAGCCCAATGGTTATACAGGGTGGGCCATAGTTAGTACCAAAGGTTATACAGGGCGGGCCATAGTTAGTATACAGTTGGTACTAAGAAACAATTACGAAGACAACTGAAGCCAATTTAATTATTGTTGTTGTTTTAGAAACTAAACTATGTTATAAATGAAAAAAAAAACTATATATTTCCTGACAATTATAATCAACGTAAATATTAGACATATATTTATTCTGTACACATTTATTGTATGTTCGTGTGAAGAAAATAATTTAATATTCCTCCAAACAATTAAAATTTCCTAATGCAAGTTAGATTATATATATGACTATATATAATATCTAAGCACACACACTCACATGTGTACAAACAAAAGATTACGGCAGGTTTTTAGTCTCACAACATATTTCTCTTTAAATTTGCTTGGAGAGATTATTTAGAAACGTTTTGTTTGCTATTTAACATATCATTAATATTCCACTTAACCTTACTAACTCCAGGTACAGAGTCATCTTATGTTATATTTGAAGTATGGATGCGGGCACTATCGTAACTCTGTTAATGTTACTTAGATTTAATACATATAAATACTACTCTATCTCTCACCTTTTGGTTTACTAGAACCGGGTACTACTTATGTTATATTTGAAGTATGGATGCGGGCACTATCGTAACTCTGTTAATGTTACTTAGATTTAATACATATAAATACTACCATATCTCTCACCTTTTGGTTTACTAGAACCGGGCACCATCGTATATCTGTGAACTTTACCAAATCCGGATAATACTGTACCTCTGCAAACGTTTAGTTAACTTCACTAGATCGGGTACTACCATATATTTTACCTTTTAGTTTACTAGAACCGGGTACTACCGTATCTCTCAACTTTTAGTTTACTAGAACCGGGTACTACCATATCTCTTACCTTTTAGTTTACTAGAACCGGGTACTACCGTATCTTTCAACTTTTAGTTTACTAGAACTGGGTAGTACCGTATTTATTAATTTTTAGTTTACTAGAACTGGGTAGTACCGTATTTATTAATTTTTAGTTGATTTCATTAGTTACTATGTTACTTTTGTTAAATTTTACTAGATCCAGATGCTGAAGATGGATCTACTCCATTCATACGCTTCAATATTGGCATGTACATATCTACACATGGTTTCATGCCTTTTCTACGTGAATAATATTTTGATCTCGTTTCTTTACACTTTGGAAGCTAATACGTGAGCGTATGAATTATGTACTTGGACAATTTTGTCACCTCGGTTATCATAATACAGCAACTAAGTTACTTATGCATATTCGTACCTGATTAATAATTTCTACTATCTCGAATACACATATGGTTGTTTGAAAATCTTTGTCAAAAAGTGAGATGGGAAGACTTTTTCTTCTTCAAAAACTCTGATAGAGGAGTGAATTTTGTGGGTTTTAGGTTTCTTGGCAACTTGGAGAAGTGCATGGGAAATGTTCTGGCTTCAAATATTATGTTTCAAAAATATGTGAAGTCTCCAAAACTGTTTATTTGCTTGAAATGGTGCTGCTTTCGCTGGTGTAAGATGTGCCGGTTTTCATGCTTCCATACTTTTGTAAAAGCCAAATCAGGTGTACTTCAGAGAAAGGTTGAAGATCCTGGCATCAACTGTGATTATTTATGTCCATAGATATTGCGACGTAGGTTATTAATATAAAAGTGAATTAATACAGGTCATCGATTAAATTATAACAAGGGGTAGATTGTGGCAAAGCTAATTCCTTTGGTGAATTATTAACAATGTTTGGAAAACAAGCAGGATCGAAACAGAAGATAAAATACAACTTGATCATTCGATATTTGGGAAACAAGCAGGATCAAAACAGAAGATAAAATACAACTTGATCATTCGATATTTGGGAAACAAGCAGGATCGCAACAGAAGATAAAATACAACTTGGTCATTCAATATTTGGAAAACAAGCAGGATCGTAACAGAAGATAAAATACAACTTGATCATTCGATATTTGGAAAACAAGCAGGATCGAAACAGAAGATAAAATACAACTTGATCATTCGATATTTGGGAAACAAGCAGGATCGTAACAGAAGATAAAATACAACTTGATCATTCGATATTTGGGAAACAAGCAGGATCGTAACAGAAGATAAAATACAACTTGATCATTCGATATTTGGAAAACAAGCAGGATCGAAACAGAAGATAAAATACAACTTGATCATTCGATATTTGGAAAACAAGCAGGATCGTAACAGAAGATAAAATACAACTTGGTCATTCAATATTTGGAAAACAAGCAACTTGCATACTTCTCACTCATTCACATTTCTCCACTGACGAAAGAAGATTTACTTTGCAAAATCCTTCTTGGTCAATAATGTTGGAAGAGAGGTGGCGGAGGTCCATTAGAAGTACTCATAATAGGCTTACATTTCACACACATACACACAATGCTCGTGTTGTATTACACAGTGTACTAATTAGCGTGTAATAAATAGGTCAGTAAACTTAGCTACACACAGTGGTTATGGTGGACTAACAGTATACTGATTAGTGTGTGACGAACAGGTCACTTTCAACGTAACGACCTTGTTTAGGATTACTTATGATATTGGATGAATTTCAATGAAACTTAAATATCATGAAATGATATTTTAATCAGATCCCTTCTCTTTTATTAGAAGTCCCAACAATATATATAGAACCGTGAGAAGAATCCGACTTAAAGCTGCATAATTAATATTACTAAATGTCAGAAATACCCAATTTCAGAAAAATAAAATGCCTTATGAAGCACATCTATCAAACTAACAATTATTTTATTGTGCTAATATTGAGGTAATTGTCTTGTTGTAAAACACATATTTTAAATACAAATGCTTTTAAGCGAACTAATTAATCATTCTCACCTTTCAATGTTCATTGCTAAGAGATACTGAATGTGTATTCAGTATACACGTGCTGTTCACTGCGTTACTATGAACTTACAGAT